TTTATACAATTTGAATTTTAAAAATAAACCAAAACATCTTTAATATTTTCATTTCTACTTTAAGCCATATAGAATGTTCTAGATTTTTACAAGAGTTGACCTTAGCCAAATACATCCTCTATTTGAGGACTATATATTAAATGGATTTTTGAAACTAGATTTTCACAAGCCTGGATATTCAGTACATCTCACCTATGGTTTCCTCAAAAGCCATTACTGGTGATATCATTTGCTTTGGACCAGATCTACAAAGGCTGCAGTCACACGGAGTATTAGCCATGCTAGAGCGACAGAAGACAGGCGGAGTTTCCGGGCGCGATCTCACCGGCACAATTGGGAAGCGTAGCACTTCCTTGGCTCAACTGCGGCTTCCCGCCGAAAACACGCAGCAAAAAACTAGTACCTCGGAGGTACTAGTTTCCGGAAACTGCAGGGCAAGGGCAGGCGTCTGATTGCGTTTCCGGAGGCATCCGGCGCCCGCCCATGTCCCCTTGCGAAAAAGGGTTTTTTTCCCCCACATCTCCATGGATGCGCACAAGCACCCAACGGAGCATGCGCAGTCGTGGTGTGCACAAAAAACCCCATCCAGTTTGCCGCACCGCGCGCTTCTTTTTTGCGCGTGGGATTCTCTTGCGATCAGCACCTCTCCCTTCCCACGGAACCTCCACGGTACCTCAACGGGAGGTCTGATCTCTTTACCACGCGTTAGTTTGCCCCGGGGCAAACTGCCACGCTCCCCCCCTGCAGTTTCCTGCCCGTGTGACCGGGGCCAAAGTTGAGCATAACCCATTAGCCATTAAAAGTCAATTTGGTTTGTCACCACAGGGGACGTTTTTTGCAGATCCCTTCTTGACACATGCTGTTCCCTTAGGCATTACTTGGACATGGCTTCTGGATATACAGGGTTGGATCCTATGAATCCCTTCTACTTGGCTGGATCTTATTAGGTCTTTTCCACTAAGTTTTCCTCCAAAAGAGGAATACTTTCTTCAACAAAGAAAAAATTGTCTCCATCATAGAAAGTCTTTCTCCATCAGAAAAAATCATTCTCCAGTGGACGAAGTCTTTGTCCGTTTTTCTAAAGAAGACTTAGCAGAAGAGAGTGATAGGATCCAAGCCATATGAACCTGTTCTGCTCAAGGCTGAGATCCAAGTTTCAAGGCTGGAGTCAGGTTACTGGAGCTGGAACCAACAGTACTGTAGCTTAGATGTTGTTCCAGCAAAGGCTGAGGGTGAAACAAAGCCTTAAATATACTTGTACTTCAAAGCAGTTCCTGGAGGTGGCTGAACTGTTTCCTTCTGTGGTGGTGTCAGGTGATCAGCACTCTCCTCATTGGAATCCTGGGTCTTTTTCCCTGATGAAGGATAGTCAGTACCCTTATCTATGATAGAGCCATGTTTTCCCAAGCTGCAGTCCCTGGGTACCACTACTACCAAGCATCTCCTCTGTCTTCATAGACAGCCAGGTATCCAGCTAATCCTTATAGAACTGAATGAGGCCTTGAGAGCATATTGGCAAAAAACGGGGTTAGACATAAATAGCAATGCTTATAATTAGTTGTTGTAGATTTTCCGGGCTTTATGGCTGTGGTCTTGGCATTGTAGTACCTGACGTTTCACCAGCAGCTGTGACTGGCATCCTCAGAGGTATAACACAGAAAGATGGAGTACTCTCTGTGTCAATGTGAGAAAAAAAATATAGGCAGGTAATTCATATCTACTCAAGAAGGTGAGGTAGGGCTGAGTCATTATCTTGTAGGAGTTTCCCAGGCTGTGACATGCTAATGGAGGAGCTTTCCTGAGGAGGTTCTTTTGCATCCCAGCCTTGAACATACTGATGCTGTTGGCCATATGCCTGTTGAAATGGGCAGCTCTACTGCCAGTGTAGAGAGCTAGATGATAACTGTGCACTCAGAAGTGGCCAATAGAAAATGGAGAAGGGTTATAACATGGAGCAAGGTGGGGTAGGCATAAGGCCGGAAAAGATGGGATGATGTAAGCAGAGTAAAGTATATAATAATTTGCTTTGCCTTATAGCAAGAATGTAGAGATTATTTTATTTATTTTTGGGGATATGTCTGTGCCACTTACTCAAGCTGGCCCACAATTAAAACATAACAATATAAAAACAATGCTTTAAAAGACAAGCCATGAGACATAAACAGCGTAAAAACTATTAGTTACAACAAGAATGTGCAGAGATAGTACCCTTGCATGTTCCCAGACCTAACAAAATTGTGAGGACAGGAATGCAGGGATGTCAGCTGAGGACAGAGTAACGTAACGTGCTTGCCTGCTCCATGAATGCCATTGATCAGCTAGATCAGGGGTGGCCGACCATGCTTAACATAAGAGCCACATGAACAAATGTCAGATGTTTGAGAGCTGCAAGACATGAACAGATATTACACACACGTTTTTATTGAAAAATATGTAAATTTGCTTTTAATAATATTAAATCGATAACTTTAGATGGGGAGGGACGGGAGAAAGAGAGAGAGAAAGAAAGGTTGAAAGAAGGTGGAAAGAAAGCAAATAGATGGGGGAGGGACAGAAAGGTGGAAAGAAAGCAACTTTAATGTTAAATGTGTCTTCCAAGCCCCCCCTTGCCCCCACGCTGGCTAGCTTGGCTTGGAGAAGGAATTTAAAAAGACAAATACCTTCTCCAAGCTGGCTGGCGAGGGGGAGGACGGGCTTTGAGAATGCATTTAAAGTTCAAGTTGCTTTCTGTCTCTGCACTGGCTGGGGAAGGGAAGACCAATTGGGGTGGCATGCCTCCCCTTTGCTTCCCCAGCCACTGTAGTGGGAGCCGCACAATATGTGTGAAAGAGCCGCATGTGGCTCCCGAGCCACAGTTTGGCCACCCCTGAGCTAGATAACAGGGCAGCCCTGCAGGTGTGTGTGTGGCTGCAACTGTGACATCAACACTGTCACCACAGTAATGAGATCTTGCTTGGATGTCTATGGGACTGGAAGGGAGGGGGAGGAGCTTGCAAAGGCTGCTGGCAGATATCTAAGCCCCAGCAGCCTCTAGCTAAGGAGGAAAGCCCTTGGCTGTCTCTCCATAGCCAGAGAGATGGCAAACAAGGGAAGGAAGATGAATTAGGGTAGTGAAATAGCTCCTCCCCTAAGAGAGGGTGATCAGCAGGGGGATAGAGGCCACTACTGGCAGTTCAGCCCACTTCCCCTCAAAGAATTCCAGCTGAGCAGAATAATAGAAATCAATCTGGGAAATTGTTGACACAGTTTGCCTAGTTAAAAAAAAATCCACTGAACATTTAATGTATGCTAGATGGTCAACCAAGATGAAAGGATTGTTTTCTATAAACTTACCTGATTCTGGATCAATGGAATGTCACTTTTCAAGCAATATGGCAGGGGCATATTGTCAAATATACTGCTGAGCAATAAATTTATATAACAATAGGCTCTTTTTGTAGCAGGAACTCCTTTGCATATTAGGCGACACACCCCTGATGTAGCCAATCCTCCAAGAGCTTACAGTAGCCCCTGTAAGAAGAGCTCTGTAAGCTCCTGTAGGATTGGCTACATTAGGGGTGTGTTGCCTAATATGCAAAGGAGTTCCTGCTACAAAAAGAGCCATATGATTAAAATTCCTTCTCTCTTTCCACATTTTCCATTTGAGATAATGTTTGCTTTCAGAGTGTATAATGGCATTATGGCATGTAGTTCCCAACAGTGTTGTGGATCTGGAATTACAAAAGAATCAAGCATTATTGGCGTCAATGAATTATTTTACCTTGGGTGGCAAAATGGCAAACAGTTGTCAAGGGCGGCCCTGAGAAATTGGATGACTTGCTGTAGGCTTCCCACAGATTTCAAGAATGATGCAGAGTTCAGGTGCCATTGCTTCAATCTAGTACTTCAGTCATGATGCCACTCTTCCATGATGGCTTTTCACTAAATACTTCCTAGCTACAATGCCGCATTAGAACAATGTTGGGTAACCATATTTTAGTAACCAGGCTCTTTCCCTGTTCTTCTCATGGCCTGTCTCCTGTGAATAATCTCGTTTTAAGGTATGACATCATAAAATAATTTTGCCATAGTTTTGAGGGGGCTTGGTCTGAAAGATTTCCTCAGGCCTCCCAGTCCTGGCGCTGAGTCTTCCTGATATTAGAGGAGCTCCAATCTGTAACCCCATAGTATGGGATTGCTGGCTCTGGGTCATTGGCTATCCTTCCTGCTGCTGTTGCATTCTTCACAGACCTGGTGTTATGCCCTCAGCATTTGCTGTATAAGTGGCTGAACTATTCACTGCCTAAATAATTCCAACTACATTCTACTAAATCTGAACCAGATGTTCTGCTGACCCCCTTTTGCTCTCAAGTCAAGCTGCTTCTGCTGTTTTCCACAGGCTGTAGTCAGACATTCAGGTGACCAACATATTTCTCTGCTCATCAGCTTATTCATTCCCACTTCAGAGTTTGTCTGAATCAAAATAAACTGTCAGTAGCAGTTCAAGTGTCTGCTTCACTCGGTAGTGACTGATCCACTAAACGTTTTGCTGTTGCTTAAAGCTACTGATTCCACATGCTCCAATCTTGTGATAAAACTCTGTCTGTCTGTCTATCTGAAACATATTTTTTTGCATTTGGGAGTGACACAGAATATCAGTGTAGGAAGAAACACTGGTAAAAAGGTAGATAATTTTGAAGGAAAAGAAGAGTTGATTTGTGCCTCTTTGTAGACAGAGAGAAGGGGGTGTGAAACAATATCCTAATACCCTGCACTAAAAAACAGATGGCACCCAATCACTGTGTTTTCTGTGCAAAACTCCACCCCTCTAGTTTTGGCTGCAGAACAGACCCTTGGAAAGGGCTGCATTTTCTAGATCACACAGACTGTAACATATAAAAGCTGTTAGCAGCTCCTGTGGCCAGCAGCTAGAAAACTTGCAGAGTCTCTCTCTCTCTCTCTGTCTCTCTCTTTCTCTTTGTGGGTTTGTAATAAGACACACTCCTCTTTCCAAGGGTTCACACTAGAGCACAGAAAAGAGCTGTTTAACTTGGAAGAACAATACACTAGGCTTTTGGTTCTGCACAGAGGTAAGCCACTGAGCTCAGTCAGTTTGCTTTGCATGCATTTTTATTAACACACATCCTTATTTTGCTGGACTCAGTTTAACAGCGCAAGTAAGACATTGTTTCCATGTCTCCTCGTGTTTCTTGTCTTTTGCTTTTAAATCTTTATCAACAGTGTAGTTATAAATGACCAGGATGGTTGTAACTTTTTTATCTTCAGAATAGCAGATGCTTTTCCCCCCATTCCCTCTAGTTGTAATAAGATTGGCCAGTGTGAACAAATCTTGCTTTATGTGGCAGTCCAGTTTGTGTGTACAGTTGCTAAGTTACCTGAGAGAATGTGGAGCTCTCTTTGACTCCCTGGAAATATCATATTTTGTGTTTTCTTGCCTACATTAATCATCTTGTGGGAACAGCTATAGAGGGAAAAGCTGATTTGAGAGCAGAAGAGATTCACTTTGATACCAGTAACTGTCTCTAAATCCTTTTCCTTTCCAGATTGTCTCTGTATCTTCTGACAAAGTGGAATTTCCCTCCCCAGCCCCAAAATGATAGTCATTTCTGCCCTCAGTGGTGCTCTTTTAATTTTCATTCTCTATGAAACAAGTGCAGTAGAGTTATCCAATTCCACTGACCCATTCCTGTCAACCAATAATTACACTGATGTTGAAGCAGCCTTGGCAGCTCATCAGGATTCTGCAAGTCTCCCCAAAGCCAGGAGGAAACGATACATTTCACAGAACGACATGATTGCCATCCTGGATTATCACAATCAAGTCAGAGGCAAAGTCTTCCCACCTGCTGCCAACATGGAATATATGGTAACAAGACCTTTATGTACTTCTTTTACCATTTCTGAAGTTTATGAATTTTGGCCCAGAAATGAAAGAATAAATCTGAGATTGTGATTTTTCTAAACAATGCTGTTATTTAGTTCAAGTTAGCTAGGCCAATGCCTTTTGAAACTGCTTTATATCTTTGTGTGCTGGGTAGCATAGTGGCCCACTTTCCAGCATGGTTCCTTTCTGTCTTCAGACAATTATGACATGCGAGTTCTGATGTAAACTGCAAGTATCACAATCCTATAAGAGCATTTATGTTAATGTCAGCTCTGGGGTATACCTGTATTGAAGACTTAAACTTGTTTAACAGTCATTTCCTCTCCCTTGGGAACCCTGGGAATTGTAGTTCTGTGAGAGGACTGTGAGTTGTGATAGTCTTCTGCTAGAGTTGCCAACTTCCAGGTGGGGTCTGGAAATATTCTGAATTACAAGTGATCTCCAGTTTTCCTGGAGAAAATGGCTACTTTGGAGAGTAGACTCAATGGCATTATACCTTGCTGAGGTCTCTCCCCTCCTCAAAGCCCACCTTCCCCAGGTCCAACCCCCAAATCTCCAGGAATTTCCCAACCTAGAGCTGGCAACCTAGTTTCTCGGTCCCTTTAGCTAGAAATCTCTTGCACAACAACATTACATCTATCACAGAGCATAACAGAATAGAGTAGAACTTAGTCATATTTTACTGTTCTAGTTGATATGCAGCATAAAAAGTTCCTTTATATAGTCTGAATCTGGAAGTTGGCTTCAGGGATCACTTTAATGCAGAAGGAAATGCACCACAACCTGCAGGATTTATTTATTTATTTGGATTTGTACCCCGCCCTCCCCGCCAAGGCAGGATGATTTCTTCTGGCTTCTTACCCCAACTGAACTGCAGCCTGACCTTTGGCTCCATCTGTTGATACGATTTAGATTGTAAACTGTTGTGGGGAGGGGGCGTGGCTGGGAGGTTCAATCCCTGGCATCTCCAGGGTAGTAGGTGAGGTGAAAGACTTCTGCCTGAGATCCTGGAGAGCTGCTGCCAGTCTGAGTAGACAATACTAACTTTGCTGGACCAAGGGTAGGTTGCAACCTCCAGGTGGTGGCTGGGAGTCTCCTGGAATTACAGCGGAGCTCCAGACTACATAAATTGCTAATTTATTTATTTAAAACATTTATTCCACTTCTCCTGGAGAACATGGCTGCTTTGGAAGGTGGACTACCCTAACAAGGTAGTCCTCCCTTCCCCAAACCCCAATCTCCCAGGCTCCATCCTGAAATCTCCAGGTATTTCCAGAGCTGGGGCTGGCAACCCTAACCAAAGGTCTCATTCAGTATATGGCAGCTCATGTGTTCTTTGGGGCAGGAATTTGTCATTTTATTATAGGTCTGGAAAGCATCTCCCACACTGATAGTTCTAAACGAATAACTAAAAGGGAAAATACAGGAACAAGCTTTTAAAATCTGCCTGTGCACTATAAATATGAATCCAGGATTACTATACTTAAAAAGGAAGTAAAATCCAAGAATAATCAGAATGGCTAATCCACTGCAGGACTGGAATTCATTAATACGTTTCACAAAATCATCAGTACATTTCACAGACTCAGTCAGGATAGTAAGCGGCTCCTTATAGTTATGCTTAACATATCAACAAACCATTATAGTCAGATTTTCATGCTCAAGCAAATTTTTGGCTATATTTTCTTCAGAATAAGCAACCAGGATATTTTGTATTTATGTTATCTTTAATTCTCTCTGTGGAGTATATCTGCTATATAATCTCCAAAATGCTTTAGCTGTAATTCCATTTCCCCAGGGAACTCTGGGAACTGTAGTTCTTTGAAAGGATTATACCTCTGTAAGAGGCAGTTCTTAGCCTCTTTAGCAAACCACAGAGCTGAAAATTCTTTCCAGGGGATTGGAGAAGCCATTTAAAATCTATTTAAGTTTATAATACTGTCTCTTATGTTAACACACTCTCTCTACCACTGTACTTCATATCAAGCATTTAGTAAAACAGGCTATTGTCCATGAAAAATCATGCCACAGTAGACAAGTGAGAATTTTAAATAGCAACAGTCCTTTTTAGTGTTTTCCCATGTAGTTTTTCCCCAGGGCAGTTTTTCTCTATTTTTCTCCAGATGTTAACTCAATATATAATATTGTCACATAATCATAGCTAATTTTGCCCCCTCCCGATCAGAAGAAAGAGACAGACACGGGATTGGATTTAATTTAAGGCCACTTTATTAACTATTTACACCTTTTCCGGCAAGGGTAAACCCCAAGTACAGAAATAGGCCAAGGCCAGGGGTTGCCCCAGACCACCTCCTTGACATATATTGGGTGGTCCACCTTTGCCCTGGGTGTGAACCATACCTCTGATTTGCCACCAGCCAGCATGACAAACAGGGTGCCTCCCTGGAGCTCTCCCCCAAGCCACGAAACTTAGAGGGGAGGCACCTAGCCAGGGCAGTCCCAAAGGCAGTCCCCATTCCCCGCCCTGGGCTGTGAAATCCGAAGGCTGAGCCTGATGGACCCCTCAGCCCCAAACAGGGAATGTGCCATATGGTGCTCACTGGATTCACTTTCCCATTTCCTGCACTAACCTGCCATTGCCAAAGCCAGGTCTCTGCTTTAGGACCTTGCACTCCATCGGGCTGCTTAACCCTACCTGCAGACCTTGCTGCAAGTCCTCCAGGAATATCATCACCCTTTCAGAGAGATGTACCCCCACCATCCCTGTACGGATCGATCAATTCAGCCTGTATTTCAGAGTGAGGCAAGAATTGAGCCAATCTGCCTGCCAGTGCATTCCTCAGTTCCTGGTTCGCCTTCTGGCAAGCCCTGCCCAAATATCAGGATCCCCCATGCTGCACCACACATGGCGTGTCAGTATAGCAGACCACATGATCTGCACACCAGGCCACCTGCTCCAGGTCAGCTTTTGCCTGAATCACCAAGGCCTTCCCTTCCACAAGGTCGAGATAATTTCCACCCACATGGATCAACAATACCTGAGGACCTTCTCTCGAATAGCAGCAAGATGAGGCTAGCCCACCTCAAGCCCATCACCCCAACCATTTAACTGTAGCCAACTCACTGAGCCCCACTTGTGAACCAATATGCCTCCTTCTGGCCTCCTAGGCTGCCCAAAAGACCATACTGTGGCCACAAATGGTGACTTTTCACCTCTCATAGTGGCTGGCCAAACCTGGAAAGAAAACACAATTAACGGCAGAACACAGTCCATTACAAAGTATTAAGTGGATTAACATAATATTTGAAGCACCATGACCTCCAACGCCATAGCCATTGAATGGCTCGACCCACAAAGCCCATAACAGTTGCTGTGGAGGCAGCCCAATCCGAAAAGAGTCTTATCAACTATAAAACCAAAAGCATACATGAGGCTTCTGGAGATATGGAAATCTTTTTCTATACCTCTGCCAGATACCTCTCCCCTGCCATTCCAGTCTATTGCCAGCTGCTACCTAGGCAGGCAGAGAATATCCTGAGCAGAGACCTGCCTGCCGTGAAAGTGCACCAATATCTTGCTCTGGCATCAGCAGCAGTTTGGAATGCAGGAGATCTGCTTCAAATTGTCATAGCAGCTGGAACTTTTGGCCTTAGGGATGAAGGAGACCAACTCGCTAACACTCGCACAAATCTCTCAGGTTCCAATCACAGTCTGATAATTGTTAATTGGCAAAGAACCTCCTGGGCATTAACCGGAAGAGACCTTTTAAGACAGGGTCCTCCGAGCTGGATAGTTGGTCTGACTGGGTCCCCCTGCGATGTGCATTCCCCCCAGATTGGATTCAAGACTTTGGACATCTTAACTCTTAATGCTACAAAAAGAAGGGAGTTATACACTATTGATAGGATTAAAGAATCCAGCCACCTTGGTCTTTAATCCCCTCCTCTTTAATGCAGACGCTTTTAGGAGAAAATCTTACCCTATAGTTGTTTCTTATATTTTGTAACTAGATATTAAGACCAATGCTCATATGATGTCATTCAAGAAGACAAATCATCTGTAGTTTACATAGGAGAAAGCTGTGGGAAGGGTTGGGATTTCCCTTTAATTTAAACCACTAAAAACGGCACTTGAGACGTTTTGAAGTTCAACATTAACAAAATATTTTATTCAACAGCAGCCCCGGTCACACGGGAAGATTTGCCCTGCGAAATGGATGGGTTGAGGGTGGATTAAACTGGCGTGATCAGATGCCAACATCTGGCAAGCGTCACGCACCAACCCCCAACCCGTCCCTTCCGGCCGAAAACTCGGATTTTAAAGAGACCAGCAAAACACTACCACCTACTTGGAAATGCGCAGCACGGGTGGCTGTGTGATCGCCGATGTGCCTGTATCCCATGGTATGCGAGGCCCTGCCACACTGTGCATGCGCACAACTGCGCAGCTGCCTCACCTCGCCCTTCTTCCCATTGCTCCCCCCTCGGCATGTGATCGTGGCAGGGAGCAAATGCGGCTCGGCTGGGGGGATCTGTCTGATCCCGATGCTGTGCTTCAATTTGCTGCGCCTCTAAAAAGCCGCACTTCTGCCATGGCTTTTCCCGCTAGTGTGACCGGGGCCAATGAGGGGAAAGGTCAGGTGAAACCAGAGGTTGAAATTTCTGTTGTAACTCTGAGGTAAAACGAGTACATGCACAGACTTCAGTTCTTGTATTTCAGGCTAATGAGAGTTTCTTAAGCTATTCACAGTTACTTAAATCTTTATGTTTGAGAGGCTTTTGTTTCAGGGTTTCCCCAAACACTCCAGTACACTTTCTTTGAGTATTCTCTGACTCTTTTGGTTTCCAGAAGGCTGGTACACTCTTTACAGCACCCAAATCCCTTCAATTGAAACACCAGTACTCATCTTGAGTTTTTAACTGACTCTTAAGGTCTCTGAAGGCAGTTTCTAACCACACCAGACCAGGGATCTTTGCACTCTCCAGAGCTAACTCCCTGTTTGACTGGGTAGGAATTTTCT